ACGCTAGATGTCGAATTTCAACAATCGGTAAAAGTCCGAGTTTATGATCAGGTGTAAACCAAACCTTGACTGGACTTTGCTCTGTCTCTATCGTAGCAGATTCATCATGATTCCAGATATGATGCCTTGCTCATTTGTTGGTATCTCATCCTAATTATAAAAAGAGTCCGATTGGAGAGGTATAAGACACTAGGGCATAGGAAACAAGGGCGGTAGACGCGACGCAAGAGCGGAGGACACGAGGGACACAAGGGCGTTACTTTCCTAAAACGAGGGCGAATCACATGATTCATTTTAGTATGGACACGAAGGCGGAACAAAAACCGTCCTAAATGATGGTGGTTTAAACTGAGAGGATTGATGGTTTGAAATTGAGTGAACAGTAACACCCCTCAGTGAAATTCGTCTACCCAAAGTAAATACCCGTTTTGGTACGTACTACCCCTGATCTAAACCCGGGTAACCGTATAAGCGTCAGCGACTGCGATATTTTGAAGGCCAAGTTTGTCACATGAACATCTAGGCCGTGTTTGATTGGTCTAGGCACGTTGTCGTTACCAAACCCCCGGCCAAAATCTGCTGCTGAGTTGGCTGAGATATTTAAGGAAAATCTCTCAATTTTTGGCTCGTTTAAATCTGGGTGATTATTTGTCACGTCACTATGTTTTGTTTCAAATTTACACGTGAGTAGATCCAATTCTTCGAGCTAAGCTTTACCTCAGCCAGACTGTTGAGAACATCAAAAAACCCGTTTGTCCATGTCAAGTCACCGCCCTTGTGTCATACGCCCTCGTGCCCACCGCTATTGTGTCTACCGTCCATGTGTTCTCCGCCCTCGTGTCCGGTTCCCGATTGGAGAGCTTAAGGCCTGTCATGATATCATGGATCGCTTAGGTTCTGGTAGTCCTCATAATTCTGCGGCCTCTATGTATCGTTATCTCGCACGACTCCGTAAGACCCTTGTGAGTTTGGCATGTGAAAGTTTGCAGCCTTCCATACTTTGATTGGGTTAACGAGGTGTCGTACGTCAACTCAAGATCGGGTGACAGGGGGCTGACCAGGCCAGAACCCAATTGATTGGATCTGAGGTCACGTGATTGTGAGCCTGAGGTCAAGTGACTGTGACGTCACCAGAGCTAATTGGACCAGGTGAGCTTGCATGCTTGTGAATGTGGGTGTAAGTACAGCTGTACTGTAGTTTATATCTAATAGTAATTACCCCCTGTTATAGAAACCGTAAATTTATTTTCTGACAGAAAGCTAGAAATTTACCAAAATATCGACATTGTAATAAACTTATTTTGATTAAGTTAGATGCTATTGTTTTGCCTAACGAGCCTGTCGCTCCCTAATCTATCTATACTAACAAGCTAGTCAACGAATTTATGACATCTAAATTAGCTCTGCAAATACATCATCTTTCGCCGCAAATTCACCGCGATTTTGCCTAGTTTGACTTGTCGCGGCGCCGCGAATTTTTTTTTTTTTTTTTTTTTTTTTTTTTTTTTTTTTTTTTTTTTTTTAATAAAATGCAACCTACTAAAACCAATGGGGCCCTCCCCGGGGTCGTCCCTAAGGTGTGAAAGTAGGTCAAGATTTGTTCACACCAAGCCCTAGCATCGCTATTTGCTGACCATCTGCCTTCACTGAAGGTATGTTTTTAGAGAGTGGAGGCCGACCGTCAGCTTGGGATGCAGGGCCAAGTTGTCAACAACGTCAAGGCCCCCTTCCACATAGGCCATGTTGGTTTTGGCAGATACTGTGGTAATAAGATATGAAGTGAATGAGTGAAATGAAGTGATTGAAAAGGGTGTAAAAGAGGAAGAGCTTGTAAGGTAGTTTAGGAATGGAAGGAAGCAGGGCATGTACTACAAAAAAACAGTTAGTAGTACTGTAGGATAGTAACAATAACCATTGATAATAAATAACAAAGACAGCAATATAAATGGGGTGGACAATTTGCCCTAATCGGCCAAGATCGACACAATAGAACTTTTGTGGCCTATTTTGTCACCAGTAAGTGAAAGTTTAAGAAGTTTGATATATCCCTGCCAGATTGGCATGTCCCCTGCCTGAAATCTTTTGCTAATGTACCATTTGGCAACAATATTAAAATAATTTATAATTTGTGAAGTGTGATTACAAACTATAAAATTAATTTTATTGGGGTCTTTGTAATTTCTATCGATTTTCCTTTTTATAAAGTCTTCAAGTATTGTGATGAAGCTATTTGTGTGGATACAATGGAGATAGATATGAGGGATTGTTTCTAAGTATGTGTTACACAGGCTACACATGGGAGTATCTGTAACAATTTTCATTTTGTGTCTCATGTATCTACACGTCGTGATCCTCATTAAAAGCTTGTACTGAAATTGAATCAACTTAAAACTTTTAGATACTAAGAAAAATAGGTTGCTAAGAACGACCGCCCAATCTATTGGTTGATTATTTAGGTCAATAACCCATTGACGTAATGGGGACAGCTCGTTTGGGCAGATAGAGTCGTACATTTTATCCCGAATTTTACTTCCCTTCACCTGTCCAGTTACAGAATGTAAAAATTTAAGTTTTATATTTGAGTCAACAAACTCAATATTCCTTGAGTTAATAGTGGGGCAGTTATATCTCCGTATCCCCATGATAATGTTACAGTACTCAGTTTTGGAAATAGTATTTGGAGACAACTCCCACTTGTTAATGAACATATCGTAGTTAAGGATTGTACTTTGGTCTATAGAAAGAAAATCTGAGATGTAAAATATTCCCTTATCAATCAGATGATTGTTCCAAAGTTTGGCCCCGATGTCGGTTATTGCTTGGTTGTACCACACGCAGTGATCAATAGAGCCCAAGGCTGCATTTACCGAACTTATCTTCCACTCAGTGTAACAATTAAGGACGTCTTGAGTAAAATGGCAGTTGGTTTTAGCGAGACCGTTTTCTACGGAGATGGTGATATGGTCAGGAAATTTCAGCTGCATAATCATAATATCTTTCCAAGTGTGGTGAAAGGAATTATTTAGTAGCTTGGATATGAGGCTGGTTTTAAGACCTATAATAAAATCAGATAAATAAAAAAGTCCCAGGCCTCCATGTTCCTTATTTCGGGTAATAATCTCACGTTTTACTTTATCGCGTTTGCAACCCCAAAGAAAATGGAAAATAGCCGTGTCAAAGATTCTGATAAAGGAAGCATCCGGTCGAGGGAGAGGAGAAACAAGGTATGTTAATTGGGAAAAGAGAAGGGTTTTAATGACTGTGCATTTACCCATAAGCGTCAAATCCCTCTTGCTCCATCGGTTTATCCAAGACTGAACCTTAATCAATTTATCATTATAATTACTGTTGACAATATCCATCAGTGAGCCATCGTTCATATAAACTATACCCAAAGCGGTGAAGTTGTTTGTTATAAAATCATAGCCGTATAAACTTTGAAGGGATTCTAGTAGAGTTGTATTAAGACGAGCTCGACCTAAAGGAATACATCTAGTTTTGTCGATGTTAGCTTTACACCCCGAGCACTGAGCAAAAGTTCTGAGTTCTGTCATAACCGCCTCTACACTTTCAATTGAAGATTTTAGAAACAGATCGGTGTCGTCTGCAAAGAGACTCTGTAAGATTTCCACACCTGATATGTTAAGACCCTTGATATTAGGATTAATCTGAATTTTATTCGAGAAAGTTTGGGCCACAATAAGAAAGAGAATAGGAGACAGTGGACTACCCTGGTGAAGACCTCTTAGAATATAAATAGGCGAGCTTAAAAACCCATTAATATTGGCGTAGCTAAAGCATGCTTGAAAAGCCACTTTAATCAGTTTAATAATGTATACGCGAATTTGGCCTAAATAATCAGCCCCCTGTCACCCGATCTTGAGGTGACGTACGACACCTCGTTAACCCAATCAATGTCTGGAAGGCTGCAAATTTTCACATGCCAAACTCACTTAAGGGTCTTACGGAGTTGTGCGAGATACATAGAGGCCGCAAAATTATGAGGACTACCAGATCCTGAGCTGGTGGAACCTAAGCGATCCATGATATCATGACAGGCCCTATGGAGAGCTGTAAAAATCGAAACGAAAGATAATTTGCAAATTTAAACTCATGATATTTGAGATTATTACACTGCTTGGAGGGCCTTCTCAGTTAATATATATATCAAACTTTCATTTTTTGGGAATAGTACACGAAATCTAGTTTGAGATTTATGTAAGTATATAACACTTTATATATTAGCCCATGCAATTTATCGTCGTAACACTCAATGTGTCCATTGACATTGTTCAACTTACCTAAGCCGTAGAAGCGTAGGGACGGCAATAATCACGGTAACACCTGTCATCCTGTATATCCTGTACGTTCTAAATGAAACAGCTACATGTACTTGTAGAATAGTCTGTTCTACTTCATACTTATACCGAGCCCACTAATCAAGCTAGACACTAGTCTATGTGGGGCGGCGTAACAGTAACACGAGCCTTCAAACATCATCAAACGTCTGCATCTACTCACTTTTTATACTCTCTTTTTCCTGTTAGTGTTAATCATTCGTTCACCAGTTCAAGCAGTGCCCCATCATTGCAATTAATAACGATGACGATAAAACGTTTACAGCTCAAAACCATATTTTGATGGTACTTTAATCGTTGAATTTGACCTTTCATTTCAATGTTTTACCTTTTAGAGGAATGCGACTACAAAGAAGAAGATGTTTTACTCGAACTGTCCTCTGCTGCACTGGTATATCTCTGTTGTTTTGTGCGGGTATTTTCTACAGCATCTCAGCTTTTGAGGAGGGTTTTATGTACTGGACGTCAGGGGTTTGGTCTAAAAAAAGAAACGAAACTATCACTAATCAAACTAAGAATTTTTTGGTTCACGGTAGCGATGTTTTAGTTTCCAAGCCCGACCCGAAATCAAAACTATATTTTGAAACGGATGCCTCATATATACAACGCTTAGAACTGGAATCAAACATCCAGTACAGTGCTATGTTCAAGAAACTTGATAAGCCCTATTTTGATACAAGAGAGGGGTACAATGAAAGTTATGTAGACTCTCTACCTCTGCTCCGGAATATTCCAGACTACAGACCCCCTGGGTGCGAGAACATCACTTACCCCACCAGTAACACCACTGTCTCCGTTGTCCTGAATTATCATAACGAGGTCCTCTCTCTTCTGCTCCGCTCTATCTACACCATCCTAGCTGCTATTCCTCCGCATAACTTATGTGAGCTGATATTGGTGGATGATGCCAGCAATTTCACTTCTTATCCGGACCTGGAGAGGGTGGAGCCCCTTGTTTCTCAATTTACTGTCTCTGTCAGGTATTTCAGGTTTGAGACTAACAAGGGACTGATTTATTCGAGGGTTTTTGCAGCTAAGAAGGCTAGAGGTGACACTTTACTTGTTCTGGATAGTCATGTTGAGATGAAGAAAGGATTTCTGGAGCCACTACTGCAAATCTCTGATAGAAATTACCGTGCTATAGCTGCTCCAGTGTTTGATTTCTTCGAGACCTTCAGGATGGTTCACGATGATTACGATGGTCATGGTCTTGGATATGACGCATATCTCAACTGGGTATGGGTCATCAAATATTTCACTGGAACAGTGCCTTGGCAGATACCTGGTATTTTGGGTGGAGCATTTCTAATGACTAAGCGGCGACTAGAGGAAATAGATTATTTCGGAAAAGGACTGGTGGGGTGGGGAGGTGAGAATATAGAGCTGTCTCTTAAGAATCTGATGTGTGGCGGGGAGATCTGGGGAGTTCCCTGCTCTAGATGTCTTCACTTTGCTGCTTCTAGGAATCCAGAGATCCACGGAGATCGTGTCCACGCATCCAAGACTAGTAATGTTGTAACCGTTGCTAAATCTTATCTAGATGATCATCAGTTTGAGGAGTTTTTGAAGGGGAGACCTGGATATCCATATGCTGATGAGCGGGCTGTTGCAGAGAATAAGAAACTGTTACAAGACTTGAAATGTGATAGAGATTGGGAGTGGATCAGGGAACATTTGATGGATCCTGTTATAGAGAGCTTCTCCTCTAAAACCCACATTGCTGTAGGGTTGATGTTTGGTGAGCAATGCATCAAGGTTGAGGGTGATGATGTTTTTAAACTTCATCCCTGCGACAGTTCTCAGCCGTTTGTTAACCAGCTCAGACTTACTAAGAGGTTTGAGCTCAGGTGGGGTAAGCAGAGGTGTTTTGACATCGGCGGGACTCCTACCAGATTATCCTTATGTCACCATCTAGAGGGACATCAGAAGTTCCATTATTCTATCCTTACTGAACAATTGTCCAACAAGGCTCAAGATACTTGTCTTACGTTCAAACCTGAGGACGCAACATTAGCTTTTAAAAAATGCACTAGAAACAGTCCTAATCAAAAACTTCGTTTTAAAACAGTCTTCCTCCCAGATTTGATACCATAGTGAAGTATGCTGGTTTTATAATTATAGTTATATACAGCAATCAGTTTATCAATTTCACAACGTTCTAGCTTAGAAATTAATGATGATGTCAAGATTTCGATAAACAATATTTCAGATCAAGAACAGCTCATTCGAGTTGATAATTTTTGTGCTTACAATTATTTCGTGATTATAATTGTTTATGAAAATAACTTCCTTGTTCTAATTTGGAGTAAAATTATTTCAAAATAATGAGCATGAATCAGTCCTGGCACATTCAAAATAGTCACAGTTTGGAAATGCTAGCCCACTGTATACGACTCTAAAGTCTAAATGTGATTTCTACACGGAGGAGCGGGAAAATCTGATGCTTATAAATTGTTTTATTTTCAAAAGGAGTTGGTGTAAATGATATACGCCGGCTCATTACACTTTTTTACACTACACTTTTGCCTTTTTTGGTGTATCAGTATGGTGTAGTAAAATTAAAAAGTGTAGTAAAAAAGGTACACTAAATTATACTTTTTTACAATAAATTAAACTGAATTACACTTTTTACACCTTAAATTACACTTAACCAATTTATCTTCTCAATATCTTCTTTTTTTTCTATTATTTTTCATCAGTCTTCACATAGTACATTTCCAAAGGCAAAAGAGGGGTAAAACCTACCTTTGGTGAGACAAAAAGTTCACTTTTTTACACTTTTTAAGGCTTTTTAAGGCTCTTTTACAGACACTTTTTAAGGCCCTTTTACACTACACTTTTTAAGGCTTTTTAAGGCTCTTTTACAGACACTTTTTAAGGCCCTTTTACACTACTACACTTTTTTAGCAATAGTTTAAATGTTATATAAATTGGTTCAGGACAGGGTTGCTCCGAGCCTTGATTGCGTCGAGGAGTAAACTGAAGATTGGTTGCTATTGTGGATTGCGATGACTGATCTCCATACCGCTCTCCTATGTGTACTGTAGGCTGTGTTGTGATCGACGGCTTGTTACAGCTTGTTAGTGTACCGGTGTACTGTACGGCTAGCACGATCATGTCCTCAAATAGTCAATCACGTATCGATGGATCAGATCTCAATGGATCAAATCAGCATAAGGAAAGTGGGAGCAACGTCACAAGATTACCCGTGAGGTAAAGGTGCTCACTGCTCATTCCAAAATCTAAAGTACACAAGTTCCCGGACGATCGGAAAATTTAATCGGAATAGGGAATTCCGATTTTAAACTTTCAAGAGGGACATTTAGAAAAAGGTTGATAGAACGTTTCTTTATATACGCATTGGTAATGAAAATACCTTTATTTCGTAACTAGATTTGGAAAATGAATGCAAAATTATCTTTGGGATATTAACTGTCAATATTACATACTACCTATTACTATTAGCAAATAGCAATACTTAACTATTCAGTTTTATAAATGCACAATGCACATACAGACTGTTAAATACATGTGACTGAACACTCCCAATAAATGTCTTAATAATTATAATTTCATAGTAAATACTCACAAACAAGGAAGGATAGTTTGGGAACCTGATTTCATAAAGCCGTACAAATTTACAAAATCGTGACTCCACTTCTGTTGTCAATCGCCTCAAATCCACCGTAATGTGTTTTTGTGGAATAAGGAATTCTACAGAGATATGTTAGTGCAAAAATCCTGCTCAGACGGGGAATGCCTCTATAAGACAGTAGTATCTATTAGCTGAATATCTTTGTCTCATCCTCGATAATGAATAATGAGACACCACCTCTAACCTCCCACTTTGAAGCCTCACACTCCAGTTGTAGTGCAGGTAAGATGGCGCAGTTAGCGGGCTACTGTTGGCTGTTCTCTTAAAGTCATAGATGATACGTACGAACTCTACGAACTCCTCAGTGACAACGAACTCTACGAACTCATCAACCCAAAATTACGAACTCTTGAGGAGTTCGTTTTGTACAACTTACGTAAAATGAAATTAAACAGAAATTGTATTTACAATTCAGCCAATTCAACACATAAAATACGATTGTAAAACAACTAAACATATTGGTACTCGAAACTTCTACCACGCGTCGCGTGTACACTGTACATTTCACAGTACAAGGACTGGTCGATCGACTGGAACATTCTGGCGCCAATAGTTTGCGCGCGCACGTTCCCTGGACACGTTGCAGAAAACTTCAACTTGTACTTCTGGCGTTGCGTTTCGTTTTCTTCTGCTGTAAACAGCTGTGATCACACCGAATGTACATTGTACATTCAGTGTTCATGTATTGTGTATGATGTATACATTTTATTTTGCCATGTACAGCAGACTGAACTATTTGAAATTGAAGTGCACTGTGTATAGACTTATAGGTATAGTTGATGATTCAAATGTCATTGTAGGTACAACTTTCAGCAGTAAAGTAGACAGTGAGACATTTGAGTATATATTCAATAAAAAGAGGAATAGATTGTCGACTGATAGAGTTGAAAAGCTGGTTTACGTTCATGGAAATCTACGTTATTGTAAGTCAAAACAGGAAGTTCGCTGTTCCCATAAACATGCTTCAACAAGTCTGTTGAAGTATATTTCCGATGTTATGTCTGCTGAAAGTTAGTAAAATTTAACATTCTGTATTGCTCGTTATTTATTTATTTATACAAAAATATTATAGTTTTATTCTTTATTTTTACCCCAATAAATATCTGAGATCATGCGAGAAATCCTGAGCTGATTACTTTTAAAAAAAAACATTTTCCATGTTTTTTTTTTGAAAAATTGACTAACGAACTCCAACGAACTCTAACGAACTCCAAATTTTGAACGAACTCCACGAACTCTACGCCAAAAATCAACGAACTCCGCATCTATGCTTAAAGTTCCTGCCGATCAGGCTGTTCTACAGGAGGGGGAGTCGAGTTGTTGTTAACGTTGGGGATGGAGTAGCTGGTCAGGTTGTTATCTTTTGAGAAGGCAGCTAGGTTTCCATTTTGATCTCTTGCCAGGATGTCTTCACCAGGTGCACTTGGTTCTGTGGGTAGATAACGATAAATGAGTCGGTATTGATTATTGAGTGCTGTTTTTGAATTATGTAAAAGGTACGATCAATGATCATTACCGAAATGGGTATTATTAGGGATATTCCATATTAGGATTATTGAACATTTTCTGTCGAATTCTGGTCCGAATGTACTACCACGGACTGGTTAAATTATCCTCCAAGTTTCTCACCAATTTTCTCGCGTTCAATTAAAAATTTCCCTGTCTTCTCGAAAAGCTTCTCGTTGCTAACTACGATCTTGGGCATAGATCTTTTCTTTTTATATTTTGTCTGGTACCAGATCCATAATATCACAACCACTGTTCCTATAACCAGGCCACTGCAGATTGCTGTTATCTTCCAAATAGTATCCATATCTGAAAAAGTTATTTTTTTCCTCCATCATCGATTTAAAATTGAAAAAAAAATTGTTTGTTTGTTTTGAGCAATCAGTATTGATGAATAAAATCAATTTGATGAATTAGCATTTAAACATAGACTCACCGATTTTGAGTTTTGACTCCTGTTTCGAAGCATCTTGTTCAGTAACGAGTGCTTTCTCTGTACTGTTTTCAGTGTCACTTCCCTCTTTGTGATTGTCAGTGTCACTTCCCTCCTCAGAGGGTGACACGTCACCAGATTCTGTGATAGGATTCTTTGTCACAACCGGCGGATCGTCTGAAGAGTGCGTCTTTTAAAATTCGCATTTTCGAGATAAAGGTACTTATAATGCGAGGAACGAAAACATATGTATAAATATAATGGCTTTAAACTTTTTTGCTACAGCAGTGAAAACAAATAATGGAATGTAACAGCACCACTACTAGGGGGGGGTCCACGTTAAAAAAAGTTAAAAAAGTTAAATTAATTAATGTTAAATTTCAAAATTCAGGCTTAGAAAGTTTAACTTTTTTAACATAAATTCAAATTTGGGTTGAAATTGCAATGGAGTGAATATTCTAGACTAGTTTATTTTTAGGTCATGCGTTGGTATTTTTGTTCATTAGTCATTACATGTAGGAATATAGGAATGCCCATGACAAGAGTAAAACAGTCATATAACATAGGTACAACCGATAAATAATTGATACATTTGATCATTACAATAATAAATTATAATTCATAGAAATATAAAACAGCTGATTGATAAATAATTTTTTTAAAACAACAGATTCCATTCACAGTGTCAACACTGAAAATAGGGCTATGATAATCTATATCATTAAATCTAGTGATACTAATCGTAATGAATTAATAACTGAATAAAATTCTAATGATGTTTCATAAAAGTTATCGCTCAAACAAAGAGTCACTGTGTCACGGTATTATATTACAAAATTAAAAATAGTGTCGATGACACACCCCCTCCCAATTCTTCCACGAACTCTGCGTTTAATTTCTCGTACATTCATTGTGCTATCATAGAGTTTTAAGATTATGTAATAACATAATAACGATAAACTATACCTTTCACTGACGATCAGGATGGCTGTAAATAGCAGGAAAACTTGACAGTCAAATCTCGAGGTGTTGGAATAATATCAGCTTAGTTTAAAAAGAGAATGATCTGACATCCTGCACATATCATTGTAAAATTAAAAAAATTCTAATTGGTAACTATGTAAATTCATAAACTTAGTGAAATAAAAGTTGAAGATCATTATAACTAATGCAGTCGCCGTTAAGCAAATTAAGAGCTCAAAATTGACACGGTTCATCATAACTGCTTAACTGTTAGTTCAAACGAGTTCAGGCATTGGCATTGAGAATGATGTCTGGTGCCATGCCTAGTACTCCCTTCATCGCACTGAACCACCTCACTAACACTCCAGATATCATACTTTTCCTGAGAGGTGAAGCAGCAAAGGGCACAGCCAGGCTTCAAGCTTATGGAAGCCTAACCCTCGAAACTATCGCCCCCAGAAAAGGTACCATCACAACTCACACCACTATCAACAAACAATTCATGGTAGATCTCAACATACCACCCAAAGCAGAGAG